GTAATTCATTAGTATTTGCTCGAATTCCTCGTATTCGTCATATATCATATCATCTTCTTTGTAAACATATAACATTATCAAATAGATCAACAAATGTTAGATTTGCTGGAGAATTTTGGATTGATCAAGATTATTAAAATTACATATAAAAACATGATCAATATAAAAATTAGATTTCAATTTGATAGATATATATATATATATAATGATGATTTTTCATTCAATTCGGTATTCATTAACTGAAGAAAAAAAACTCTTGTTTTGAAAATAAAAAATTGAAAATGAGTTTTTTAATGATAAAAGAAATATAGAAATTTTATTGTATCTTTCTTTGGATGATATCTCATCGATTTTGCATATCATCTATTATCAACTTCGGTTATTTTAGTTCATTTTCAATAATGAACAAAATAGGAGATTTTTATTAAAAATAAAATAAAATAATAATAATCAATCTTAACTATTTATTTTTATGTCAATCTAGATAGAAGCTTCCTAAATTTAATTTATCGAGATATTTTCAGCCTTGGTTATAAATTCTCTGATAGATTAATTGTTGTGATAGACTTTCCATGTTACACATTTTATCAAGTTATATTGTAATTATTTCTAATTATCTAAACCATGGCGAAAATAAAAATATTGAAAGTAAAAATGTCGAGAAGAAGAATTTCGAAAAATTTTCAAGTTGAAAGATAGAATTGTGGAAAAATGTTCTCTCAAAATATTATCCATGAAAAAATCATTGGCATAGGGGTATGAGGTGTGGAAATGGATATTATCTTCAACAACGCCCCGAACTCACACCTATCCACACCCACACGCTCTCTTTTCTTTTGCTTTCTTTTCTTCTTCAATTTTATCTTTTGTCAATGCATCAACTCGTCTTTTCTTCGTTAATATAAAGACTTTCTTTTCATATACATCTTCCGACGCAGAAAAAGATAATTCTGAATTTTTCTTTTTTTTCTTGTTGTAGAAATTCCTTGTTTTTATTGAGTATATATTTCGTAAATTATTTGTACTAAAACAAGTAACTACTATAAACAAAGAAAATAAAATATTATTTAAAATGAGACGTGATAAAAATACTGAAATTTATATAAATAGAAAAAAATCTATATTGATAATGAGTCATTCATAATAAATATATTAAATTAATATTATATTGTGACAAGTTTCGACATATGTTATCGTCACACATTACAGCAGGCAACGCCTAAAAGGATGATTGACGAATCATTTATTGATAATGACGTATTATAAATATTACCTTAATGTGCAACGATGCAAAACTGAAGCACGTAGTTTCTTTTTCGTCTTTTTGAAAAATGTGTTTTGTCATTAAAGTACGTTTCATCGAAATGTAAATAGGTTATTATTGATTTAACTAACGATTGACAACAATTATGGACATAAAAGGATTTAAATTGCTACCTTCTCATATTGGTAAATTGACTGAGAAGATATTCGATGAATATTCGATATATATATTTAATATTCCATCAAATATAATTGATAATTATCTTCCAAATAAACTTCATGCTTTTGTTTCTAAAACATGGAAAAATTTGGCCAAACATTATTTTTTTTATTCAAAACCAATTATTTTTGCTTCTCGATCACAAATACGTAACAATGTTGAGTCTTTATCGAATTTAATATCATTAGAAGATTTTTTAGAAGATTTTTTATCAAAAAAAGATTCAAGATTACGTTATAATTTTGTAATCACTCGTAATTCATTAGTATTTGCTCGAATTCCTCGTATTCGTCATATATCATATCATCTTCTTTGTAAACATATAACATTATCAAATAGATCAACAAATGTTAGATTTGCTGGAGAATTTTGGATTGATCAAGATTATTAAAATTACATATAAAAACATGATCAATATAAAAATTAGATTTCAATTTGATAGATATATATATATATATAATGATGATTTTTCATTCAATTCGGTATTCATTAACTGAAGAAAAAAAACTCTTGTTTTGAAAATAAAAAATTGAAAATGAGTTTTTTAATGATAAAAGAAATATAGAAATTTTATTGTATCTTTCTTTGGAT